GGGCCCCCCCCCCCCCCCCCCCCCAACACACACACACTTAGGAAGAGGCTCCAGCAAGAGACAGCAAACCAAGCCCAGGCAGCGTTGCTGCTGCAAAAATCTTCCCTGCCATTTCTGGGGCTTTCAGACAGCCCGTCCTTGCTCTGTCCCGTCCACTTCCAAGCAGCCTTTCCAGAATGCACTTCAGCAAGTCATCTTCCATGCCCCACCTCTCCCGAGAACACTTATGTATAGACAGGCACAGGAGACAGCTTGGGGGGAGGGGAGGATTTATTGAGTGATGCTTCAGTTTCAGTCTCTGCCAGGAACTGGGGATGGGGTAACCCTTCTCCCAGGTTTCCCCAGGTTTGCTGTTCTGAAGAATGAGGCCGGAGGCCAGCTCTCCTCTTCGCCACAGCTTGAGAAGCCAGGCTACGCTGGGGTGGGGACAGCAGAGCCGAGATCCTCCCCCCAGCCCCCAGTCTGTGCGGTACTTCCAGCCTGAGGGGGAGGGGCCAAGGCAATCCTGGCCACAGCCTCCCACACAGCCCTGCTCTTGGTGCGCCACTCACTGCCCTGAGCTATTCATGATCTCTGCTCCCACGTACCACCTCAACACTCCAAAAGCCAGCCCCACGCTCAGCCCGCCAGGTCTCTAGTCCTGGGCAGGGCAAGAGGAGGGACACGGGGCCCCTGGCCAAGCAGCTTCAAGGGGCCCTCTCCTTGCTGCTGTCCCACTGGGTGCTGGCCCCTTGTCTCCAGCCTCCCTGGGTGGCCAGGGGCGGTGGCCTCAGACTACGCCCCCTCCTCTTTTTCAGCTTCCCACTGTCCCAGCACAGCAGCCAAGAGCACACACACAGCACCTGCGGGGTTGGTGGGCCCAGGAACGTGCACTGGCACACAGGCCGGACTGCGGACAGTCCCAGGTGGGGCCCCCTCCCTGCCCTGGAAGCTAGACAGTGAGACACAAAGCAGAAGTGGGGCCATGGGATGTGCAGTCCAGTGGCAGGAGGAGCCACAAACCCTGGCCCTGCTCGTCAGTGCGGGCTGCGCCAGGCCTCGCTTCTGTAGGAGCCCCCATGGCTGGCTCCAGAACTGCCCAGACCCCGCAAAGGGAGATGAGGGGAGGATGGGTGGTCCTTGAGGAGGGGAAAGGTCTGCAGAGAACCACCCAGACACCTGGTGTCACCCAACTCACCCCCAGGGCCTCGAGGTCCAACCTCTTGGCCCCTATCACCCTGCCACGTGGGTGAGGAAGCAGGGCCTCTTCCGCTGCTCCTTCCCCTCAGAGGTCCAAGAACCAACCACTCCAATGAAATGCAGGCACCCATGCCTGCCACCTGCCCCTGGGGACAGCAGGGGGCTAGGCAGGAAAGCTGGCTAGGGGCCCACAGGCCTCTCCTGCTCCAAGCACCTTCCTAGCTCTCCTAACGTCGTCTTGGCAGCAAGGGGACCCCATCCTCCCAGCGGCCCCTGGGCCCTCCCTGCAGCCTCAGCGCAGCTAGGCTTCCTTCCTGCGTGCGTGCGTGAGTCTGCGTGTGGTGGGGTGACTACAGGTGGTGGTCCTGGCTGCCAGGGCGAGCAGGAGAGATCTGGAGTCAGCCTCACTGCAGGGCCTGGCAGTTCACCTCAACCAATCTCCTTCCACTGCTTGTAGAAGTCGAGGACATTCTTGATGTCCACGCTGGCATGGGCAGCGGCCTGCAGGGCTGCCTGGGAAATGGGAGGAGAGATGCGAAGGGAGTGACTTCCTGAGCTGGGGAACAAGGTGCTGTCATCGAGGGGCTGGGAAGGAGCGGCACAAGAGAAAAGGGCAGCCACGTGGAAGGGATGCAGGCAGAGCCACCAGGGCACCTCTTCCCTGTCCCCCCAGCCCCCGCCTCACCCATGACCCACCTGCATGGGGCCTGAAAGCACGCTGGGGTTGTCCAGTGGAAGGCCTGTGACGATGGTCACCATGCCACTCGGGTCCTCCTCACCTGCCCCCTGGGCCAGAGTCAGCTGTTTGCAGCTGTCCAGGATCTTATAGAGAGTCCTGGGTGGAGGAAATGGGCCAAGGCCCAGCATTAGCACAGCCTGGTCTCCAGGGAAAGCCGGGGCTAGGAGGGGTCTCTGGAGGGAGAATGAGAAGCCAGCAGCCAGAGGCGGCGGGACCCAAGATGGCCCTGGAGGATGTGGGATGGGAGGCACAAAGGAGCTGAGGGTGCACCAAGCCCCTGCCAGCACCTCAGGGCCAAGAGGGAGAGAGTGGGTGCCCAGCAACCTAACACTCCCCCGCAGGCAAGCCCTGCAGGAGCGCCCCAACAGGCTGCTCTGGCCCTCTGGCCCTGTCCCGCCCTCCCAGCACGCTAGTGGAGGAGTCAGACAGGCAGGCTGACTGAGGCCTGGGGCCAAGGCTGAAGAGTTACCAGGCATCTGCATCCTGCCTCTTCAGCTTGTGCCGCTCAAAGCTCTTTCCCACCTCTTTCTGGCAGCGGATGTACCTGCAAAGGAGACGTGAGAGTGAAGGTCACGGGCAGAGAACAGGGAGGGCACCTTATACAAAGCAGGACAGTGTGGCTCTGGGGACCCAGTTCTGCGGGAGGGGATGGGGAACATGGCTCTCCTATCGCTGCTGTGTGGGGCCATTTGACGTGGCTTCCTGGCTGTGGGGTCCAGCTCGCTTTTCCTCCTGATAACATCAATTCTTTGGTTCCTCTCAAGGGAGGGGCTGGGAGGGGAGAAGCTGCAGATGCTTTTCAAGTCAGGGTTTCTGGAGACAAGGTCCAAACAAGCAGGCTTTGTGCAGCTTCCTGGCCAGGCAGGGCAGATGCAGTGCAGGGGCGGGCCAGCTAGCAGGGAGAAGGATGTGTTCTCCTCATCCCCTCTGCCCAGGCCTCCCCTGGCCTCAGTGGCCAGATGGGAATGCCTGCATCGGGCTGAGCACCTGCACATGCTGCCACATGTCAGCCCAGGTTGGCTTCAGTCTCGCTGGGGGGCTCAATTTAGTAGGGAGGTGGGAAGCCCCTGGCAGCCCTGGGAAACTTGTTCCAACCCTGAAGCAGGAGAAATTACTCCTGTGAGGCAGCCACAGCCAGAAGTTGGGGAGAAGGGGATTTGCCCGAGGCAAAAGGACAGCAGTTCAGAGCTCTTCACAGGGCTCCCAGCTTCTCTGGCCACCCTCCATTTCTACATCTCGGACCGTGAATTCTGATGACCTCTCTGGCATCCTTCCCCAGCAGTGAGCAGACCGCGAGCAGGAACGAAGTGTGTATTTCACCCACAAGGAGCACGTGCTGTCCAAAGAGGGACCAGGCTCAGCACAGCTCCAGACAGGCCTGTTGCTTACCTGTTTCCTTTTTTAAACTCTGCCTCCAGGTACCGAATTCCATCCCGAGCCCCTGGGTGCTCCTTCTTTAGCAAATCCAGGCCATCGATCACTGGAGTGCAAGGTGGGGGGAGGGAAGGACAGACCAGGAGCTCAGACTGCTGTGACATGGGGCTGCTACGGGGCTCCCGAGGGTCTCTGAAACATGACCTCTGCCAACAGTGTACTTGCAGTTTGCCCGTGCTTTCACTTATATTTTCTCATGTTTCTCCTGTCATGTGAGGTGTTAACAGGAATTGTTGCGCCCATTTCACAAATGAAGTGATGGGGTCAGAGGTGGCAGGACCTGCCCAAGGTCACTGTATAAACTGGGCTGTCGCTAAGGGCGTCTCAGTTCCAAGCCCAGCGTCTCTTGTGGCCACTCTATCCTCTGTCTCCCCAGTATGCTTACCTGTCCTTGGGATGATGACAATGAAGCGGCCACTGGTGGCCAGCTGGCGGATGACAGGGAGATGGTGGCAGAGGGCCTGGGTGTCAGGGACAAGGTAGGGAGACATAGCCGACTGGGCCTTTGGCTGCTGCAGGCTGCCCTCCAGCTGAGAGACCTCGAGCTGGTGAGAGAGACAGAGTGAGTGCAGCTGCGGGGGGCACCTGCAGCCTGAATGGGGAGGATGGTGCCTCTTATGGGTTCCTCTGCTTGCTAAGGGGGACAGAAGACCCTTCCTACCCATGACCTTGTGAGAAAATAGATAGGAAGAAGGCCAAGGGAAAGAGAGAGAAGGGAAAGAGACAGAAACTAAGGCAGAAAGGGTGTAATGGCTCCGTGAAGAATGAGCAACGGGAGCGTGACCTGGCAGAGGCTGAGGGTGTAGGGGCACAGACCGGGGGCAGAAGCCGAGGGGACGGGGGCAGAAGTTGAGCGAACAGGGGCACAGACCGGGTGGGCTGCAGTCAAGCAGGAAAAGTCTGCCAGGGAATTTAAGCGAAAGTCAGACCAAGAGCAGAAGCAGCATTTGGGCTCCTTGTCCCACCTGAAGTCGCAGCTGAGCCATGTCTCTCATTAGCCTGTTCCGACGAGCTTCCTCTTGTGCCTATGAGGGAAAAAACAAGCTCTGACTGCAGCATACTCCCTTTTCCAGTGAAAAAGACCAAAAAGAATCCCCAAGAGCTGGGTTCGGTGGCTCAGCCTGTAATCCTGCGCCTTGGGAGGCTGAGGTGAGTGGATTGCCTGAGCCCACAGGTTCGAGACCCGCCTAGGCAGCAAGACCTCATCTCTACAATAAATCAAAAAAAAAAATCAGCCGGGCGTGGGCGCATGCCTGTAATTCCAGCTACTTGGAAGGCTGAGGAGGAAGGATTGCCAGAGCCCAGCAGATCGAGGTTGCGGTGGCCGGGAGCAGCCACTGCACTCCAGTCTGGGCGACAGAGTGAGACTCCAACTCAAAAAAAAAGAATCCCCAGGGTCTGGAACAGATGTGGTCCCGTGTAAAATCACTCTCCAAACTCCTGCTAAATGAGGGGGAGAGACAGGAAAGAAAAGCTGTTCCCCTGCTGCACCCTGAACGATGTCCACCACCACTCAGGTTACGTGGTTTGGGCACCATGGGAGAGAGGGCACAGCCATGTGCTGCCATGGACAGGACACCACCTAGCTGGGCCTCAGGTGCAGCCTCTGCTTTTCTCTCTTCTCCATGGCTTCCCTCTGGGAGTATCATCTCTGCATCCCTCGCCTTCTGGGACATCCACTCGCAAGCATCTTCCAAGTCCGCACACTCAGCCTGACCTGACCGCCCTGCAGTCCAGACCCACACACCCGACTGCCTGTGCAGCAGCCCCATCTGTTCCGCAGAACCCACTGCTCGTCCTCTAGTGGTCTCTAGCTCTCTAGAAATCACCACCTGCTCAGGTCAGAAAGTTCACAGCTGGCTGTGGGATCCTGCGCTGGACCGCGGAAAACAGACAATGGGAAAACCAGCGAGATATGAGTCAAGTCTACAGTTAACAAATAGCCTAATTACTTAATTTTGATCTGTCCTGCCCCAATTGCGAATGGTATCCTTTTGAGAAGCAATGATGGAGGAAAGAGTGGCAGCAGAAGACCGGGGCCAGGAGCAAGTCATGCTCTCACAGGCCCTGCGGGTAAGCCGGTAAGGAAGGGGGCACTGAGGGCGAACCTCCCCCTCCCCACCGCACAAATCAAGCCTGTAAGTCTTATGCTTGTAGGCTATAATTGTAATTGTGAAACTACACGTTCAAGAGCGGGGTTGGGGGCCCTTGTGCAAGTCCTCAAAAACTAGCAGAGGTGAGTGGGACCCACCTGGGCCAGGAGGAGGAGAGCTGCACTCATACAAGGCTCTGACGTCACCAGCCCAGCAGTTCAAACTGGTTCCTCAGAGGGGAAGCCTACCTTCAGAGGTCCCCTCAAAAAGAGGCGCTCGGCAGCAGACAACAGACACTCTCACTGTTGTCCTGCCCATTGTGCCCTTTACAATGTATCTTTCCTTTAACAAATCTAACTTTCTTAACTCATAAAAAGAAAAAGGAGGTGCTCTACGCCAGGAAGACATGGGAGCCCTTACAGTAGGGGTGCAGCAGCTCCTGGTGTCCACCCAGCCTGCTGAGAAGCTAAGTCTCTAAAAGCAGCACGGGACAACCAGGACGAGAACTCAGTTTGTCCAGCTCCAGAGACCTGCTTCTACCAGCAACTACACTTTTTGATCTTGGGAATGTCCCTTTGTCTTTCTCCATTTTCTCATCTACAAAGTTAGTTTGCAAGCACCTCCTCATACGGCTGCTGCAAGGGTTACATGAGATGTCACATGTAAGCTAGGCTTTGCACATAGAAAGCTCTTGACAAAAACAGGAGATGGCAATATGACGACAAACGTCTTGCTGTTCAGGATAAGCCTCTTGTGGGAAGCCTGTGACTTCAGCTGAGCAGGAGGAGCCTCAGCAGGCAATGGCCTGTGGTGCCACGAGAGGGGCCTGAATTCCTCCCAGCCCCCCAGGAGAAGTCCTCAGAAGCTTTAGGCTAGAGGAGAGGAAACGTCTGCCAAAATGCTCACATTTTTTGAAGCTGTGTAACTTCCCCATAATTATTTTTGTAACCCCCCCATGTTTTTCCTCATGAAATAGTAATAAACACTGTAACACAAAAGGTTTGTTTTCAACAAAATGTGATTGTTTTTAAGACAGCAAGGAAGGGAGTTTCTGAGGAGGCTTTGCCCCTTCCCAGCCAAGCAGAATGCCCACAGGAAAGGGGGCTCACAGTGGGGGAAGCTGCTGGCCTGAGGCTGTGGGGGACAGAAGAACACAGGGAGGGGACAGGCTGGGGATGAAGAAGAAACCCCGGGGCTTGCTGCGACACGTGGGCTGCACTTCCCGTGCCAGACACGGACACCCCAAATGCACTGGTGCCACTTAGCTCGGGGCGGGGGAGGGAGGCGGGCAGCAACAAAGTATTAGCCCTACAAGAGAAAGGACTGTCTTGTTCACTGCTGTAACCCCAGTGCCTAGAACACTCACATGTCTGGCACAAAGCAGACTCTCAAAAAATATTTCTGGAATGAATTACTGAATGGAAAAGAGGTGACACAGCCCACTTCCTATCCTCTGGGTCCTGTGGAATGGGATCATGTCTGGGACAGGAGAATTCCTTCATGATGCCTGATACCAAGAGCCCTCCACTCCCCTAGATTCCTCAGTTTATCCCTCTTGAAGGGAAGGGAAGGAAAGGAACATTTGCTGAGCACATGCATGTTCCACAAAACAATGTGTGAGATACTTAAATGCACAATCGTTCTATCACCACAAAAGCCCCACAATGTTTACTCCATTTATTCCCACATCACTCCCAAGGAAATCACCTTAAAAAGATCAAGCTACTAGCTTGACTCACATACTGGGAGGTGACAGAAATGGCCCTCAACTCCAAGTCAGTGTGGACACAGGTCCTAAGCCACATGGCTTCTGCTCACAGCACCTCTCACTCCCTGCCTCACCCCTTGGTCCCTCCTACGTCTCCGTCAGAAAGCCCAGCCAAGCCTCCTAATCACCATGTTCTTCAATGAAGACCAGTAGGGTGTCTGGGCCTCTTACCCTGGGATCTCAGCAAGCCCAACGAAAGCAGAACTGACCAGGAAGGGAGGCGGACTTACCATTCGGAACTGGGCCTGGGCCTGCTGCAGCAGGCTCTCTTGCTCGGACTGGGCAATGCTGACGAAGATGCCAACCTCTGGGTTGAATTGCAGGATGCTGCCTTGCAGGCGGGCAATGAAGTGACCAAAGCTGCGGATGCAGCAGATGCGCACCACTGACTGTGGGAAGACAGCAGCCAGCCCAGCTGAGCGGGGCCCTCCAGGCCCCCCTACCCACCAAGACTCCCTCCCACCCTCCCGCTCCCCTGCTGGCACAGCCTCCTCAGCAACAAGGGAAGGGCTCCTCGGAAAGGCTTGTGATCTGAGGGGCGGGAAAGGGACACCAAGGCCCAAAGCCTCTGGTTTCCAGAAGAGAAGCAAGCGAGCAGGGCCAAGTGACTCCTGTGAGGACCAGAGGACCAGGCCTTGAGCTGAGAAGAAACAGGAGGGCGCCGAGCTGGTGTGGAGACCTGGGTGCTGGTGCCACCCTCCTCAGTGCTCCTCACTGTGAGGTGAGGGACTGAGCTAGAGCAACACTCCTAACTCACTTTTGTGGCAATAAAACCCTTCTTCCCCTCAAATAAACATTTATCCAGAACCCCAAAATAGAAGACAGACCCCAACCTAGCTCCTCTGGTTGGGGGGGAGCAGCCAGAGGTATGTGTCTGTCAGGAGAGGGGAGCAGGCAGACTGTCTGCTTGGCTTCTCTCTGCTGCCCCCAGATGGCCCAAGCAGTGACACAGATTCATGGGGGACAGTTGCCGGACATTCCCTTCCAGATCTAACTTTCTAAAAATGTTGAATGTTCAGACCAGAGAAGGGTGGGCCCGGAGTTAGAAAGTGACGAATAAAGATGGCAAGCCCTAACAATGAACTTGTTCTGTCCTCTGCAGTCAGTGGAGAAAGGGGAGAGGGATGTTCTCTAACAGAAGAAATTCCCCACAGCCGACTTGCAGAAGGGCATCCTGCCACAGCAGGGGAAAAGCGAAAATGGCTGGCTGAATGAAAGCCACACAGCCTGTGGCCCCAGGGATGCTTTCCCCATCTGCCTGGGAGGGGCAACCAGAGGCTCTGGGCCTCCCACTCCACAGACCACAAGCCTTTCCTGCCCCTCTCTCCCCAGCCCTGAGGCCCTGCTTTTCTGCTGTGCATGACCAACAAACAGAGAGAGCTTGTGGCATGAGAACCGACATTCTCACCTCCTCTAAGGCGCTGAGCAGAGGCCGGTCCGTGTCAAAGTTAAACCGTCTGTGGGCAGCCCGGAGGGGAGGCAGGTTCCGAAGCGCCATGTCCTCTGGGAGCAGCAGGCTGGAGGGGAGGTCAGGCAGTTCACAGCCTTCAAGAAGATCCTGGACCTCAGGACACAAGGACAGGCCTGGGCAGAAAAAGAACACATCAAACTATCTGCCCTGTGGATGTTCCCAGTCAGAGGGACTTAGTCTTTCTCTTCAGGATTTGACAAGTTGAGAGACAGGACACAGCCCTGGGACGGTGGGGAGTGAGGGAGGGAGCAAAGGAAAGAGAGACAGACACGCCAGAGCCAGTAAGGCAGAGCAAGGTGGAAGAGCAAGGACAGCGCAGATGGGGAGGGCTCCCTGACAGAAGGGACAGTTGCACTGGAACGGAACAAGAGGGGCTCGGGGGAGCTAACAGCCCTTGGTGAATCTCAAGAGGCAGGAGCAGGCAGTTTTCCAGCGGGAAGGTGGCAGGAAGGGATGAGCCAGACGGACAAGCTCTGGAGGTCAACGTGAATTCTCAGTGACCACAGGCACCAGAGTGATGGCAGCAGCTGGGCCTGGCGGCCACGCACTGCCTTCCCCAGGGAGCACACTCTCTTGCAGACCCGACTACCTGCCCACAGTGGGGCGGTGTTGGGGTGAGAAACCGGAGAGGCCTGGACCACACAATGACCGCTGTGTGCTGGAAAGGCTGGGCAGTGAATCCCATTAGCCTCCTTACCCCAAGGACTGGGTTACCAGGAGGGGGATGGGACAAGTAGGCCAACAAGGGAGAGGGAGGGCAGTGCCAGGGACCTCCTCACCAGACTCCTGCAATTCCCCAGCAGCCGGCAACAGATTCAGCAACACAGACAGGCGGTTCCACAGACTTTGAGAGCTCTGGGGAGAAAAGGGGAAGGGGAGGTCCTCAGCCAGGATGGTGTTGGAGATGGCAATGAGGGGTATCTGGGGCTGTGTTCAGAGGCCGAGGGAAATTTTAAAAATTACCATCAGAGGGCCAGGTGCCACCATGCCTGGCTGTGTCTTGGTTTTTTTTTTCGTTTTTTTTTTTTTTTGAGTTGGAGTCTCACTCTGTCGGCCAGGCTGGAGTGCAAGTGGCATGCTCACAGCCACCCCAGCATTGACCTGCTGGGCTCCGGTGATCCTTCTACCTCAGCCTTCTAAGTTGCTAGAACTACAGCCATGCACTACCATGCCTGACTAATTTTTGATTATAGAGACAAGGTTTCGCCAAGTTGCCCAGGGTGGTCTCGAACTTGCAGGTTTAAGCAATTCACTCACCTTGACCTACCAAAGTGCTGGGATTATAGGTTGAGCCACCAAGCCCAGCCTGTGTCTTGTTTTTTAAAAACAAGTTTTTTTTTGTTGTTGTTATTGGTGTTCTTAAACTAGTCAAGTGCAATAGTAAAAATAAAAATACATTTTTTGGGGGGTTTTTTTAGTTGGAGTTTCTCAGTCACCCAGGATGGAGTGCAGTGGCATGCTCACAGCCACTGCAGCCTTGACCTGCTGGGCTCAGGTGGTCCTTCCACCTCAGCCTTTCAAGTAGCTAAAACTACAGGCACATACCACCATGTCCAGCTAATTTTTTGATTTATTGTAGAGGTGAGGTCTCGCTAAGTTGCCCAGACTGGTTTCGAACAAGCGGGCTCAGGCAATCCTCTCACCTTGGCCTCCCAAAGTTCTGGGATTATAGGCGTGAGCTACCGCGCCCGGCCCTAAAAATAAGTTTTTAATTATAAAAAGCAAGGTATAAAAAACAACAGGCCAGGCACAGTGGCTCACACCTTGTAATCCCAGTACTCTGAGAGGCTGAGGTGGGGGGATCACTTGATGTTAGGAGTTTGAGACCAGCATAAGAAACAGCAAGACCCAACCTTTACAAAAAATTAAAAAAAAAAAAAAGTCAGCCGGGCTCGGTGGCTCAGCCTGTAATCTCGCGCCTATGGGAGGCTGAGGTGAGTGGATTGCCTGAGCCCGCAGGTTCGAGACCCGCCTGGGCAGCGAGACCTCATCTC